ACACTACTCGGGAGGGAGGCAGGAGGATCGCTTGACCAGGAGTGTGAGGTTGCTGGAGCAAGCTGACCCACGGCACTCCTTAGCCCGGTCGACAGAGTGAGACTCTGTCTCAAAAAAAAAAAAATACAAAAAAAACCTGAGTAAGCTGAGGGCAAAGTCCGGGGCCTAAAGCCAGGTGACCTGGCCGAGCCCGAGGAGACTTTTCTCTACCAACAACAGTATCTGGCAATGCCTTACCTGGAAGCAGAAGAGGCAGATGGAACAAATCACAAAGTCTTCTCTGGTTGCGCTTGCTGAAGGCAACACGGACGTCATGTCGTGTATTCCCAGCGCGAAGAAGAGGAAAAAGCCCAGCAAGTGACTCCAGATGTTCACCGTCTCATTAGATAGAATAAACAAACTGGAAAGCAAACAGACACGCAACTCAGATCCACGCGGGCTTGGGGTCAGCACGCAGAGGGCAGGGGCAATTTTCAGATCATCGGACTCTTGCTGCTTTCAGCTCTTACCCCATCGGCACCCTCCTAAATTTGATATATTGTTTAAATTAATTAATCTCCAACTTTTTCCGCATCTCCGCCAATCCTGGGACCTAGAGCTTGTGCAGTGCTCACCTCTATTATAATTATCACTTCCTTGTTTATATTAGATTTATTTATTTTTTTAATTTATTTTATTGTTTTTTTGAGACAGAGTCTCACTTTGTTGCCCAGGCTAGATGAGTGCCTGTGCGTCAGCCTCGCTCACAGCAACCTCAGACTCCTGGGCTCAATGCACCTCCTGCTCAGCTCCTCCCGATAGACCCTGGACCACAGTGCATCGCCATCCTCCCATGCCCGGCCTGATTTTTCTATATGTATCAGTTCTCATTAATTCTTCTATTATAAGTAGACGGGGTCTCGCTCTAGCATGCGCTGTTCGAACTCCTGACCCCGAGAAAGAGCAATCCGCCCTCTCGCCTCCCAGATGCTGATTACAGGATATGACCACCGCGCCCGGCTTATGTCAGATTTATTAATACAATATTCCATTCATCCTCCAGATCCACCAACGTCCCTGACCGGCAAATAACCATTCATCTTAGACACCATTGTTCCCAGCACACTGCCTTGCTCAATTCGTCTTATAAATGCCCGGCTGATTTTTTCTATATGTATTAGTTGGCCAATTAATTTCTTTCTATTTATAGTAGAGACGGGGGTCTCGCTCTAGCTCAGGCTGGTTTCGAACTCCTGACCTCGAGCAGAGCAATCCGCCCTCCTCGGCCTCCCAGAGTGCTGGGATTACAGGTATGAGCCACCGCGCCCGGCCTTATGTTAGATTTATTTACATACAAATTCCATTTCATCCTCCAGTCCACCAACTCCCTGACCGCAAATACCATTCATCTTTATGACACCATTGTTCCCAGCACACTGCCTTGCTCAGATTCGTCTATAAAATGTCTGCAGAAAAAAATGTATAGACGCAAACCCAATATTGGCTAACACACTTAGTAACAGGTATCTGAAAACCTGCTCGGTGTAAGGTTGTGCATAAACTTGAAATACTTTAGTACACATTAAATCCAAACGCAAAATTAAATGGACTTAAGAGCAGCAGAAAAAATACAAATTAATCCACTGGAAAGTTTCCTTCTTTCTTTCTTTCTTTTTGAGACAGAGTCTCACTCTGTTGCCCACGCCAGAGTGAGTGCCGTGGCGTCAGCCTCGCTCACAGCATCCTCACACTCCTGGGCTCAAGTGATCCTCCTGCCTCAGCCTCCCGAGTAGCTGGGACTGCAGGCACACCACGCCTGGCTAATGTTTTCTTTATGTATTTTTAGTTGGCCAATGAATTTCTTTCTATTTATAGTAGAGACGGGGTCTTGCTCTTGCTCAGGCTGGTTTCAAACTCCGGACCTTGAGCAATCAGCCCACTTTGGCCTCCCAGAGTGCTAGGATTATAGGCGTGAGCCACCGCGCCCGCCGGGCTCCACTTTTAACACAGGTGCTGCCTGCCCTGTCTCAGAACGCCCTGGCTGACTGGTCTTGGCAGCACAAGTTAGTGGGGAGTGTCCCGCCCTGACCAGAGTCAGCAGACGCACTGTCTCCACCCCGAGCAAGTCGCTGGGCCTCTCTGGGCTTCGGTTTCTTCATCTGTAATGTCAAGGAGTTGGATTAGAGGCTGCAGAGACTTTCTTCCAGCTCCGTCCTTCCTTTTGGGAAATGGTTCTCTAGATGTGGACAGGACTCATTCTATATACTTTTATAAAAGGTGATATGAACTAAGATTAAAAATCATTTAATTCTCTAGCGAAAGTAGAGAGTATCTTGCTAATACTTAGGTCTTGCACCTTTACTGACTCTGAAGTCCTTATAATAGGCACTGAGCATACGGCTGCGTACCTATTGAATTGGCAACAGTCACCATGATTCTAACTCCCCCCCCCTCCTTTTTTTTTTTTGAGACAGGGTCTCACTTTGCCTGCCCGAGAGCTGGAGTGAGCGCCGTGGCATCAGCCCTCGTCACAGCAACCTCAGACTCCTGAGGGGCTCAAGCTCCTCCTGCCTCAGCCTCCTCTCGAGTAGCTGGGGATAAGGCAGTGCCACCGGATGCCCGGCTATTTTTCTATATATTGTTAGTTCGCCAATTAATTTCTTTCGTATTTATAGTAGAGACGGGTCTCGCTCTGCCCAGGCCTGGTTTTAAGAACTCCTTTACCTCGGCATCCGCCCGCTCGGGCCTCCCGAGAGTGCTAGGATTACAGGCGTGAGCTCACCGCGCCCGCCTTATTTTCCCATTTTACAGTGACAAAAAAGCATTATTTTCTGATGTTACGGGGAATGGCCGGGGATCGTATTAGTAGAGTCCCAAGAACATAACATCATCAAAATAACGTGACATTTTGATTAACGAGATTCGGGCTTCGTCGTGTAGAGCACCGAGTACAAGACTAGCTAGTGTGAGTACGTGTCGTAAGATGGATTATCAAGAGGATAGGCGACTAAAACTTGAGGAGAGTGACCCATTAAGAAACTACAAGAGCTGCTCTGACAGTTAACACCCAGTTGCTTAATGCTCACACTCTCAGATACTTTGCATTTCTTGAACTCGGTATAATCTGATCAAAAAATCTGAGAGGCACGCGATCTTCCGGATGGCCGCTAGGCGTCTTGGGGCCCTCAGAACCTCGTCACCGAGTAAAATAAAAAAAAAAAAAAAAAAAAAAAAAAATGAAAAAACAAAAATATAAATAATATTCTTTGAGATAGATAGGGATTCAATGCACAGCTCTCCGTCTAAGTTTTTCCTACGTTTGTTCTATCCTGTCCATAATTTAAGTCTTATGAGCAGGTTTGAGGCAAGGTTACAGATATAGTATTGTTGGCGACAGACAGGATGTGGCTGAACTTGTGGAAAGAGAATGAAAATAAAGAAGGTTGGATTTGAAAATCCCCCGTCCACTTCATGTGACTGGGCTTTTAGATTTCTGAAAACAAAAATACATAAAACAGCCAAACCAATGATGCTACGGGATACTCGGGGTATCAATACTACAATAATAAAGTTAAACGCCCCGGGTGAGACAGGACTTTTCCCGATCCCTGGGTGGACATAAGAAAGCTTCCATGAGGAAGTCTATACAAAAGCATCGAGCAATGTCAAGTCATGATTTACTTTGCTGTGTAATGTACGATCCTAGAGGGGAAATCAAGTCCAGGGAGGTCTAGCATGTTCTATAAGGATACAGTAAGAGACTAATGCCATATGGAGAGTCAAGAGTGAATCAAGTGCCCTAAAGAAAATATGAAAAGAATGGGTTCTTATATGTAGAGACTCATGCGCCAAAGGCAATATATGATCAAAAATATGGACACTGAGGAATTGAGTAAAAAAGCACTTGCTCTCAGGTAGTAAGATTTCACAATGTTAGCTGTTTTTTGTATTTTTTCCAGGTGACACAACACATATTGTATATTACATATTCATCTTAATAACAAGATAAGAAAAAAATGCAAATTATTCATGTTGCATCATTTAGAATGGAAAAAAATGTGCTGCTCTTTACCTGCGTTAGTAAAATAGTCTTACATGAGGTTTTAGATAGTTGATTGATTACAATCATTATGGTATTCGTGCCACACATTTTCTAAAAAGTATTTGCTTAAATAAATGAGGCATATCTCTAAATCGCTCTCCGCCATTTTTTTATTTTTACATAAACATTGATTTATTACCTATTCCCGTCTATCATTTAAAATTAATCTCTCTTTTAAGAAAGATACAGAATATCACCATCGATATAGTGAATTCTGCAATTACTTTATCATTCATATCCTCTGTTCAGCATTCAAAACACTGGGTGCTAACAGGCCACAACTCTATCAGTTGCAATAGTCGGGACCAGAGCTATTAAAAGATCATGATAAACCCAAGACGCTGATAAATGCTATAACAGGAAACTAGAAATTCATTCTGACGCAATAAAATGGCACCATTAAAATTATCTGCATTAATATTATAACAACGATTCTACTAACAAGTTAAAATTTCTATACTAATTACTTCTTGAATTACTTTATAAATCTTGTTTCTCCATATTGAGTAGTGCTTCAGTAACGCCATACTCATGCGTAGATTAGTCGCGTGAATTACTCACTCTTTCGACATCATTGTATATCTATAATAGTCGATAAAGGTGAAAATATTAAAAGCTTCGAGCGCTTGAGTAATAATAATAATACTATTTGCTCAGGTCCCATACATATGGTCTTCATTTACTAGAGAGTCGGACGGAAAAATGTATCTCGGGCAAACACCAAAAGGCATCTTGCTTGTAGATACTCAACATGCCATCATATGTAGCCAAAGTAAAGCAGTGAGAGTTCCTGGAAATAATTCATGAGGCAATTCATCCAGAATCGCACTTTCAATATCTTACTAGAAGATTCAAGAACATCACAATAAATCATAGAATGCCAGAGGGCACAGTGCGCGGTGATCCAGGAAGAATAATTAGAGTAAGATATATAAAAAGCATACAAGGGCCGCGGGTAGGCTCAAAGGCTGAGAATCATACGCCAGTCATTCCAGCAAAACTCTTGAGCCGAGGCAGGAGAGGAGGGTAAAGCAGTGGAAATCGCATCTGAGTACTTATAAAAGGGAACTGAAAAGAGTATGGGGAGATGAGTCAGGAATTGCTCAAGGGAACTGACAAGTGGAAACTGTGTCAGCAACAAGCGAAACAGAAAACACCCGTGAATGGAAAAACGGGCTGAGATCTTGATACATAAAAATAGTAAGAAGTGCTATAATTAGTCTAAGTATTTGTCACAACTAATAACATTATTAAAATTATTTAAAATTTAGAAAATAAATTTCTCAGTCTGAGGCACTTTGAGCTCACGAGGATGACTT